CCAAAACAGACTCTTAAAAACTGAGAACAAACTGAGGGTTGATGGGGGATGAGGGAGTGGATGGTGGGTGATGGGTGTTGAAGAGGGCATCTGTTGGGATGAGCACTGGGTGTTATATGGAAACCAATTTGACAATAAATTTCATATTGAAAAATACTCCACTTATAGCAATGGACAGATCATCTACACAGAAAATCAACAAAGAAACAATGGCTCTAAATGACACGCTAGACCAGATGGACTTAATACACACACACACACACACACACACACACCATTTCATCCTAAAGTAGGAGAATACATATTCTTCTTGAGTGCACATGGAACATTCTCCAGAATAGATCACATATTGGGTCACAGATCAGCCCTCAACAGGTAAAAAAAATATTGAGATCATACCATGCATATTTTCAGATCACAACATTATGAATCTTGAAATGAACCACAAGAAAAAATTTGGAAAGCCCTCAGATACGTGAAAGTTAAATAACATCTTACTAAAGAATGAATGGATCAACCAAAAAATTAAAGAAGAAATTTTAAAAATACATGGAAACAAATTAAAATGAAAACACAAGAGTCCAAGTCCTTTGGTGTGCAGCAAAGGCAGTCCTAAGAAGAAAATATATTGTAATTCAGGCCTATCTCAAGAAATGAGAAAGGTCCCTAATACAAAACCTAACCTTATACTTAAAAAATCTGGAAAGGAGCAGCAAATAAAGCACAAAGCCAGCAGAAGAAGGAAATTTATAAAGATTAGAGCAGAAATAAACAATATAGAATCTAAAAAAGTAAAAAAAAAAAAAAATTAAAAAAAAACAGTAGAACAGATCAATGAAACTAAGGGCTGGTTTTTTGAAAGAATAAACAAACTTGATAAACCCTTAGCCAGACTTCTCAAAAAGAAGAGAGAACCCAAATGGATAAAAGAGGAGGAAAGAGGAGAGATGACAACCAACACCACAGAAATACAATTATAAGTGAATATGATGAAAAATTATATGCCAACAAACCGGACAATCTGGGAGGAATGGTCAAATTCCTAGACACTCACACACTACCAAAACTCAAACAGGAAGAAATAGAAAACTTGAACAGATCCATAACCAGCAAAGGAATTGAGTTGGTTATCAAAACCTCCCAGCAAACAAGAGTCCTGGGCCAAATGGTTTCCCAGGGGAATTCTACCAGCCATTTCAAGAAGAGTTAATCCTATTTTCCTCAAACTGTTCCAAAAAATAGAAATTAAAGGAAAGCTTCCAAACTCAGTCTACAAAGCCAACATGACCATGCATCTAAAGCCAAAGACCCCACTAAAAAGGAGAATTACAGGCCAATATCCCTGATGAACCTGGATGCAAAATTTCTCAATAAGATACTAGCAAATCAAACCCAACAGTACATTAAAAGAATTATTCACCATGATCAAGTGGGATTTATTCCTAAACTGCAAGGCAGGTTTAATATTTGCAAAACAATCAATGTGATACACCACATTAATAAAAGAAAGGATAGGAACCATATGATTATTTCAAGAGATGCATAAAAAGTGTTTGACAAAATACAGCATCCTTTCATGATACAAACCTTCAAGAAAGAGGAATAGAAGGAATGTATCTTAACATTATAAAAGCCATATATGAAAGGCCCACAGCTAATACCATCCTCAATGGGGAAAAACTGAGAGCTTTCCCCCTAAGGTCAGGAACACAACTGAGATGTCCACTCTCGCCACTGTTGTTGCTACTGGAAGTCCTAGCCTCAGCAATCATAAAACAAAAAGAAATAAAAGAATACAGATCAGCAAGAGAGAATTCAAACTTCACTCTTCACAGATGACATGACACTCTTCATGGAAAACCTGAAAGACCCCACAAAAAAACTGTTAGAGCTGATACATGAATTCAGCAAAGTCACAGGATACAAAATCAATGTACAGAAATCAGTTGCATTTCTATACACCATTAATGAAGCAGTTGCATTTCTATACACCAATAATGAAGCAGCAGAAAGAGATATCACAGATTGGTCCCATTTACAATTGCACCAAAATCAATAAGATACCGAGGAATAAACCTAACCAAAGACGTAAAAGATCTGTATGCTGAAAACTACAGAAAGCTTATGAAAGCAACTGAAGAAGACACAAAGAAATGGAAAAACATTCCATGCTCATGACTGGAAGAACAAAAATTGTTAAATGTCGATAATACCCAAAGCAATCTACACACTCAATGCAATCCCTACCAAAATAACAGCAGGATTACCCACAGAGCTAGAACAAACAATCCTAAAATTTGTATGGAACCAGAAAAGACCCTGAATAGCCAAAGCAATCCTGAAAAAGAAAATCAAAGCTGGAGGCATCAAAGTTCTGGACATTAAGGTGTATTACAAAGCTGTAATCATCAAGGTGTATTACAAAGCTGTAATCATCAAGACAGTACGGTATTGACACAAAAACAGACACCTAGATCAATGGAATTGAATAGAGAACCCAGAAATGGGCCCACAAATATATGACCAACTAATCTTTGACAAAGCAGGAAAGAGTATCCAATGGAAAAAAAGACACTCTTTTCAGCAAATGGTGCTGGGAGAACTGGACAGCAACACACAGAAGAATGAAACTGGACCCCTTTATTACATCATACACAAAAATAAATTCAAAGTGGATGAAAGACCTAAATGTGAGACAGGAAACCATCAAAATCCTAGAGGAGAAAACAGGCAGAAACCTCTTTGACCTAGGCCACAGCGACTTCTTACTTGACATGTCTCTAGAGGCAAGGGAAATAAAAGCAAAAATGAAAGATTGCAATTCATCAAGATGAAAAGCTTCTGTACTGCAAAGGAAATAATCAGCAAAACCAAAAGGCAACTGATGGAATGGGAGAAGATAATTGCAAATGACATTTCAGATAAAGGGTTAGTATCCAAAATCTACAAAGAACTTACCAAACTCAACACCTGAAAAATAATCCAGTGAAAAAATGGGCAGAAGACATGAATAGACACTTTTCCAAACAAGGCATCCAGATGGCTCATAGACACATAAAAAGATGCTCATCACTCATCATCAGGGAAATACAAATCAAAACCACAATGAGATACTACCCTCACATCTTTCAGAATGGCTAAAACGAACAACTCAGGAAACAACAGATTTTGGCAACAATGTGGAGAAAGAGGATCTCTTTTGCACTGCTTGTGGGAATGCAAACTGGTGCAGCCACTCTGGAAAACAGTATGGAAGTTCCTCAAAAAATTCAAAATAGAACTACCCTACAACTCAGTAATAGCACTACTAAGAATTTATCCAAAGGATACAGGAGTACAGGAGTGCTGATTCGAAGGGGCACATGCACCCCAATGTTTATAACAGCACTATCGACAATAGCCCAATTATGGAAAGAGCCCAAATGTCCATCGACTGATGAATGGATAAAGATGATGACACAGTGGAATATTACTTGGCAGTCAAAAAGAATAAAATCTTGCCATTTGCAACAACGTAGATGGAACTAGAGTGTATTACGCTAAGCACAATAAGTCAGTCAGAGAAAGACAGATATCATATGATTTCACTCATATGTGGAATTTGAGAAATACAACAGATGAACATAGGGGAAGGGAAGGAAAAATAAGATAAAAACAGAGAGGGAAGCAAACCATAAGAGACTTGTAAATACAGAGAACAAGCTGAGGGTTGCTGCAGGGGAGGTGGGTGGGGGGATGGGCTAAATGGGGGTGGACATTAAGGAGGACACTTTTTGGGATTGAGCACTGGTTGTCGCATGTAAGAGATGAATCACTGCATTCCACTCCTAAAGGCAAGACTACACTGTATGTTAACTAACTTGAATTTAAAGTAAGCAAAAAGAAAAAAAGAAAAATTAATAAAAAGTTGAAATAAAAAAGGATGAATGTATAGATGCAAAGTGCCTATCTAACTGACAAATAACTGCTCTACCAAGACAAAACCTCCAGTACTAAGTGAACAGACATTTCTAGAGAGCTTAGAACTAATTCCTACAAATCTAAAAACCTGATATTCCTAGCAAGTAATACTTAGGAATATTACATACTCAAACACTTTTTTTGAAAGGACATTTAGGTTGATGTCACCACACTGGACTGACACCAAGAATCAGTCTAATGTGGACTTGATAAGACCAAAAATTCATATAAAAGTGAATATTATGTTAGACTATATTCAGTTTTACCGCTACATAAAAGAAGAATGATGGCTGCAGTTAATGGCTGCAGGCAGTTCAGAGAAGTATTTTTCGATAAACAGAAAGAGCAAAATTATCCTACTGTAACATGGGGCCAAGAAAAACATTTCATTGTTATTTTTACTAAATATAAGCAATAGAAGATATGTTTAACTTGTCATAATGTATTCACATTCTCTTTTTTAAACATCTTGTATTTATGTAAACTAAGAATACATACTACAACTTATAAAATTTAAATATCCAAGAATTAAAATAAATTGCTGTAACGGGACAGAAATATGAAAAATATTATATTTTCTCACACAAAGTATTTAATTAGTCCTACTATTAATACTAATTGCCACTCTTAATTAGTCCTATTGTCTTGTTTAAATAATAGCATGTATGTAACAGAAAATACAGAAAAGCAATTTTAAATAAACATCTATTTTCATATTTTTATATTAAAGCAATAACACATGTGCGCAGTTATTTATTATATATTATAGGCCTTTCATAGGTCTTTTCATCTTGTATGGCTATGTCCTGTGTTGGCGCCCTGAAGTTTCATCACCCCAACTGTATGGTACCATTCGGATGGAGGAACAAAAAAATTAAAAAGTTGGTGTTTGTAAATTACAGACAAGAAACTGGTAAACAGTGGTGCCTCCTGTGAAAGATAAATTAGTGGCTAAAAGAAACCAGAAAGTTTCTTTTTCTTATTTTTTTAAATGTATTTTTAAAATTTTGCACCTTGTGTATCTACTACCTATTCCAAAGTGAGAAAATCACTATTAGTCTTATATAGTGATCGTCCACGGTCAGCTGAGAAAGGTGCTTGTGGGCCCACAGGGATCAGTGTTCCCCCTGGAAATGGTGTGTTAAAAACACGTGATTCTTGGGGGACCTGCCTCATATCCAAGATGGCTGACTGGTCGACGACTGATTCAGAGGAGCCTGATGAGGTGAGCTGGTGTCCAAAACTGAAGGGCCTGCTAACCCCCAGAAATCAGTAAGAATTTGTTTTGTGAAGGAAGCCATTAGAGGGCTTTAAAGAAAGGAATACAATTATGTGATGTATGACTGAGAGATCCGTTGGGTTGTGTGAAGAAGGTGGGGTAGCCCTATTTTCAGGACCTTTTTCTGTAGTCTTGGTGAGTACAGCTGTTGGTTTGGACTGTTAGCGTGGTTAGCACTGGATGAGGATGTGGAAACACAGACATGGTCCGACTTTGGGAAGTGGCCCTGATAAGACTTGTTATAGATTGTGGATTGTGGGGAGGGTGCGTAACATAGCTGACTGCTGTTACTGGCCTCGGTAGCTCAGAGTGCCTTTTCGTGGGATAAAGAACACGGTGGTGGATTGTAGAGAATAGGAAAGAGTTCTCTCAGGGACACTTTAAGACAGAGATGGTTAACTGATGCATGGTTTTTTTTTTGAAAGTCAGGTTATTCTGTGGAGACTGGAGAGGGGAGAAAACTACTCAAGGACAAGGGACAAGGCTGGAGAGGCTCAGCAGGGTGGGGAATCTTGCAGGCCCACAAAGGCTTTAGCTTTTCATCAGTATGAAATGGGTGAGGATGACAAGGCGTTGAGCTTGACGAGAGTTGGCCAAAGGCCTGCTGTTGCAAGATTTAACAAATGAAAATACAGAACGCCGAGCTAAATTTAAATGTGAGATCAACCACAAATAATTTTTTACATAAATAGAGCCTATGTAGTGTTTGGGATATACTTTGGCTGAAAACGTATTTGTTGTTGATCTGAAATTTTAACTGGGTGTTATTTACACAGGCAACCCTACCACAAGGGCACGTGGAGGCAGGGCTTGTGCAGGCATTACAGGGAGATGGAAGGGCCAGAGCGGCAGCAGGGAAAGTGTGAAGAAGGGTCCCAGCAAAGACAAGGGTTACCCGTTTGGTACATTTTACCGGAGAACAGCTCTAGAAAGACGAGCTTCTTGGTTCTTCTAAGCGTTGGCCGAGGGTTCCCCGGGGAAGGCTTACTCGTCTCTGCCAATCCTCCGCGGCCTGCCGGCTCCGCTAGCCCAGCTGCCCGCAGCCTCCACCGCGTGGAGTAGCAGTAGAAAAGCCGCAGCCCGCTGGGCCGGAGTTGTAACCCCGCCTTCCGCACCCCGCAGGGGTGGAGTCTGAGCGAGGAGCCTGTGATCAGCCCTCTCTCCTCGGATGACAGGCGGCAGGATAACATGGAGTCGAGCAAGATGGCGCCTCCCAAGAACGCTCCGAGAGATGCCTTGGTAAGTGCAAAGGATGAGAGGCGGGGCATGAAGCTCCGCGCGGCCAGCGTCTAGGGAGGCAGGCCCCGGCGGAGGGCCTGAGGCTGGGCTCGCGTGCGGCTTCAGCCCAGCCGGGGCGGCCAGGAGTGGGATAAGGGGCTGCCCGTCTGGACCTTGGGGCGCTTCTCCCGCAACCCCCGCGGCCCCGCTAGAGGGAGGCTTGCGGCCCGCCGAAGTGCGCAGTCCAACCACCCGGCTTTGTCTACTGGGCCTTGGGCCCCAGACTCTTTGTGGTCTCGCCAGGTTGGCCAGCCGGGATTCTCGCGTCCAGCGTTCTTCCCCCATCGTCACAGAAGAAAATGACAACCAGCTGTAGCCACCCCTGCCTTTCCCGGGGTGAAAGGCAACCCGGGCCTTTTTCTTCTCTTTGCCCCAGCCCCCACCCCCGCCAAAAAAAAAAAAAAGTTTTCAGCAGAGGTTACAACGGGTTTGGGCGTGATTCTGATACACACTTGAGAAGAAAAGGATAGGAGTACAAGTTTGGAGCCCAGAGAAAGGGGGACCTCGTATCATAAATACAAATACTACCTTCGGCCCAGTCTTGATTTCTAGTGCCTACATCATACATCTGACGTTTTTATTCGAATCTACAGGTGATGGCACAAATCCTGAAGGATATGGGAATTACGGAGTATGAACCAAGGGTTATAAATCAAATGTTGGAATTTGCTTTCCGTAAGTTAACAAAACACCAAAAATTTGCCTAACTTGTGAATCTGAAAAGATTGTTTTATTGTAAGAACATTTTCAACTAAATTGCTTTAATAATAAATATCATAGAACTTGGCTAAAGCAGAAAAAAGGAGCTCAAGCTAGGGTACAGTAGTATTTATACTGTGATATCTATTTAAAATTGATCATATAGAGGGGAGCCTGGGTAATTCAGTCATTAAGCTTCTGACTCTTGATCTTAGTTCAGGTCATGATCTCCCTCCTGGTTTGAGAGATTGAGCCCCTTGTTGGGCTCTGCTGTGACAGCACAGAGTCTGCTTAGGATTATCTCTCTCCCTCTCTCTGCCCTCCCCTGCTCACCTCGCTGGCTCTCTCAAATAAGCTTAATAAAAAAACTTTTAGTTGATCATGTAGATCAGTTAGATATTAGAACCAAAATTCATAAATTTTCTACTGGTAGAACCTTCCATTAAGAAAAATGGCCATAAATATTAGGCTGTCTTCATAGGTTTAAGAAAATAATGTTTTGTTCTTAAAGGATATGTGACTACAATTCTGGATGATGCGAAAATTTATTCAAGCCATGCTAAGAAACCTAATGTTGATGCAGATGATGTGAGACTGGCAATCCAGTGTCGGGCTGATCAGTCTTTTACTTCTCCTCCTCCAAGAGATGTGAGCAAAGTTATTTGAAGTTCATTTTACTTAAAAATTTTTAAATTGTAGTTCTAATAAGGATTTTTTTTTAGTTTTTACTGGATATTGCAAGGCAGAAAAATCAAACCCCTTTACCACTGATTAAGCCATATGCAGGACCCAGACTGCCACCTGACAGATACTGCTTAACAGCTCCAAACTATAGGCTGAAGTCCTTAATTAAAAAGGTAAGAATTTTTAGTCAAATTAGTTTTTTAAAAAGATGACATGTGTTAGGGCAATTTGTAAAAAGCACATTCCTATAGATAGATTAGTAGAATAAAGACTAAGATAATTTACTAGGATTTTTAAAATTTATAGCGTTGAAAATACCATGTCTGCAATTAACTACTACATTAAAATACAAAATTTTTAGAGCTAAAAAGAACTTTAATGTTCATCTAACCCAACACTTAATTTTCACAACAGGAAACTGAGCCTCGATCCATCTGTGGAGTTAGTAGCAAAGCTGGGACTTATTCCCAGGTCTCATGCCTCCAAATATTTCCACTGTTTATCAGTTTTTTGTGACACCTGATAACAGAGTAAATGATATACCATAAGGAATTGGACTTATTTTCTGAAATATGACCTAAGGCTCTCCCACCACTGAGAAAGTTCTCCCCACATTCAGCTAGCTGCCTTTGTTGTCTGAAATTCTGCTAGAAGAGAGTTTCTTTCTTTTTAGGTTAAGGTATTGACTAGTTAAGATTAAAAGTCATAAGGATGTTAGTTGTTATCCCCCAAATAAGACTCTACCTTAAACACTATATAGAATTTTCTATGTGTATGTTCATATCCATGTCCATATGCATATGCATTATATTTATATTATATATATGTTTGTGAAGACTAGTTTCAATGTTGGATTTAGAACACTGATGAAACAAAAACGACATTCTTGCCATAGGTTTATCCATTAATAAGTCACATCAGCAATCCTAATTTCATTCTTGGTAAGTTTAGGGGTCAGATCTAAACAACATTAAAATTAACTTGTTTTTGAAATCCCCTAGGGACCTAACCAAGGAAGACTAGTTCCACGGTTAAGTGTTGGTGCTGTTAGTAGCAGACCTTCCACTCCTACTATAGGTAAGTGAGAGAGGGAAATGGTTTTTCTGACTGGTAAAGAAGTTCCTTGGCACTTAATTTTAAATTATAATCCAAGTCAAAGGCTGAGTCAGAAATTCCCAAATGTGTATTGCCATTGATACATTTACTTATCCTCTAGTAAAACTATAAACATATATCTTATCAGATTTCAAAATGAGAAAGCCACAAGGAATATCTGATCCCAAATGAGTATAGAATTGGACATTACCCAGCGTTGTTGGAATAAACTGGGATACCAAAAACAGTTTAAGCTGTGTTCTCTGCCTTGTATACAAATCAAGTTGCCAAACACAACTCATGGCAGTAGCCTACTTATTTTCAGAAATTAAAGAACTTTCAGAGTAAACTGGCAAGAGAATGCAACCCAAACAATTTTAAAGTGTACAAAAAGCATATCAAAGAAAAACTCATTGTTTTTAATACTAATCTTTCCAGAAGTAGTACTGATTGTCCTGTGTTGTCCCTTCAAGGTGTCTCCTGTGTCATGACAGGTCCCCATCATTCTTTGAGCCTTTATTGCTTTTTGGCACAAGATGATCTAAGCTCATCTTATATTTTCCCTTACTCTAGTTCTACAACCAGCCATTTCTCCAGAGCCCTCGTTCCTTTTGGTGGAGAATGGTATTTAGAAACCGTTAGGTTTCTTTTTAATGTTGTTGCTTAGGTAATAAGGGAAACATAAATAGATTTAAAGTTCCTGATTTTTTTTTTGGTCCTACATTCCTGCTGGATTTCTTTCATAATCAAAGTATTTTCAGAAATAATCCTCTTTGACCAGTACTGATTTCTTGGCTCTTATGTTTTATAACTTGAGTCCTATAGATGTCATATAGCTCTAATGTAAGCAGCATTTGATTTATGCAGTGTGTAGACAATCTCTTCATATTCTCATTTAAACATTTTAAAATCAACCGGGTATAGTATTAGTTGTACACTTCCAGTTACCTGCATGTGACCTTTGTGGGCAGAAATTCGCATATATAATTTGTGTAACTTTTAGGTCATATACTGTGTATCTGTGGATTCATATTACTTTAGTGAATACCAATTTTTTAAAAACTCTGGGCTGTGGTAATCCACTGCACGTGTTGGCAAGTTAACCAATTTTAGTTATCAGTTGTGATTTTTAGACACTTATTATACATGTTTTAGAGATTTTTAAAATCTAAAATGAGGGAACTGCTAAAATCTAGTATTAAAATACAAGTTTTGAACTTTGAAAACATGGAATTCTACAAAGTATCCAAGATCTAAGCATCTACTCTGTTCAATTTTAAAACCTAAACTCCATACTTCCTTAAATGTTAAATCGTTATGGTAATGGCCAAGAAAACATCTACCTATTGTGAATTTCTTGACAAAATAAAATACATACTGTTTCATTAAGCTTCACCAAATTCTTTGAACTGATCCTTAATACAACAGAAAACTTGCCTAGGAATGAAGATACCTTAGAGTAAGGCCTCACCTTCTCAGTTTGGGAGAGAAAGCATTAGAGCCAGATTCCTGCGTACCTTTGAACTCTCTTCCCCCATTTAGGCTTTCTTCCCCCATTTAGGCTTTCTTCTCCTTTGTTTCTGGAGAGGGTAGTTGTAGTTTTTTCAGCAACTCTTCCCTGGGCAGACTGCTGGTTCCGGGAGAAAGGGATGTATGGAAAACCTGCATCCCCAAAGGAAAAACTAGGAACACACATGTTTCCATAAATGTATTTTTTAAGAGAGCTATGATGTCAGTATACATCTTTGAGTCTTGCAGAATTTATTCATTAAACAAAAATTGTTGAGTGCCTATTAGGAGTAAGGCACAAAGACCATATGTTCTTAAGGATAAAAAGTGTTAGCCAAGCTTGTAATTTAGTGAACAGGAGA